TTGTGTGTCAATGTTTATGTAACAGTTTAGATCTTTGACTCTCAGGATTTGTAGGGGAATCTAAGATCTTTGCAATGCAATACTGACTGAAATTCATAGCAAAAAATTTTTGTGTGTCAATGTTTATGTAACAGTTTAGATCTTTGACTCTCAGGATTTGTAGGGGAATCTAAGATCTTTGCAATGCAATACTGACTGAAATTCATAGCAAAAAATTTTTGTGTGTCAATGTTTATGTAACAGTTTAGATCTTTGACTCTCAGGATTTGTAGGGGAATCTAAGATCTTTGCAATGCAATACTGACTGAAATTGGAAAAAAAAGAAGTGCTGCCTATTAATGAATAAAAGTATTTGATTATAAAACAGCTTGTTTTTTTTTCCTTAAGGCGATATTTCACAGTTCAGAATAACCAACTGATGTATCAGAAGAGATTAAAGGTATGTATTACTAAATTTATTTTGTAATAGTATTTTAAAAGCAGAGGATATCCACAAGAGTGACCATAGGTAAACTGTGCAATTTCTGGGATCACATTCTGCCTATCACACTAACAGGCATGCTATAAATTGTGACAGCCAGACATATATCTGCATACACACTTCACTATGCTTTAACTGTTTCACTTCCAAGATATCAATTGATTTTGTTAATTCTCTATACTGTCTGCCATACATTTCTTACAATGTTGGTTCAGAGAATTTGGTATTGGATCAACGGAGTTAGTTTATTCTCATCACTTGTCTTGATTTGTATTGATATTGTAAAAAGTACTGTCTTGGTTACTCAATGGAAGTTTAAAAGTTGAAATGTGAACAAAGGGATTTTTTTTAAGTTTTCTGCCTTGTTTTCAATTGCACAGTTAATTTGAATGAAGAGATTTGTTGATAATACATGTAATTAAAAGTTCTATCATTTGCATTCAATTTTGCAGGATGACCAAACAGTACTAGTTGAGGATCTTCGATTGTGCAAAGTTAGACTTGCAGAGGAAACAGTGGATAGAAGATTTATGTTTGAAGTTGTATCACCAACAAAGTAACTAAAGGCTATTAAATTTTGTTTTCACAAATCTGTCAAACACTAGTTAGAATTGATAGCATCTCAGTGACCAATAGCATTTCTTACAAATGTAAATTAATGTAAAAATATATCTTCTGTTCTATGTCAACTAGATCATGGTATTTACAAGCAGATAGCGACGCACTGCAAGTGGAATGGATGGAAGCTATGCAGGTAAGTTAACTTATTCCCTTTTAACTGTCAAGATCAGATTGACGATTCTCACCTCTAGCTGTTACAGGTGTCCTTGTAAATTAGTTTGGAGACTTTGGTGTTAGATCAAGATAATAACTTCTACTTGTTAAGTTAGAGTTTTCACATTACCTGTTGGCTGGGTTGTGTGTGAATGTTAGAGGGAGAAGTAACATGTTTTAAAGTCACTTTTAGAACCAGCTAGGGCTAATTTGGAAGAATGCGATTCTTAAGAACTACACATACAAGTCTAAGAATTTACACTGTTACTGATGAACTAATTGGATAGAAGTGAGCTTTCAAAGGTGGATGTACCTTACGTGTTGAAGTAGTGAATAAGGTTATCAGGTTTTGAAGAAGCTCTTGTGCTGTGTTGATGTTAAAGTTATACACTAACTTGATGATCAACAAGAAATTGCCTGGTTAAGAAAATGATATAACCCCATTATGGTGAATTGCAGGCTAGTATCAACCAGGCTTTCAATAGCTCAACCAGTATACAAAGTAACAGTGATAAGGTGGGTGCGCTGCAATCATGTGTAATCACATGGTAACCATTGTGTGACACAGCTGACTAAATCAGCAACAAGGTGTTCAATACACTAGATTGCAAGAAATGTTGACTCCTACAAAGAGTGATCCATGAATGATGAGACTCAATGGCTTTGTTGGAAATGTTTGCACAGTTAGACAATCAATGCTTATTCACTTATTCAGGGCAAATACTTGTTTATGATAATCAGTTTTTTTAAGGAAGGCATCTATTAGATAGCTTCGATCATTTACCCGACATGCAACGTACAGTGGTTATCATGTATGTGTGTACCCCTAAAGGCCTTGAGTCTCTTAGTTAATTCATTGCTAAAACTTTTTTTTGTGTCAATGTTTATGCAAGGCTATTCAGCTTGAATCAGTTATGAGATGCAAATAAAATAAATTATTGGCTAGCTTTTGGTCGCTCAAACATTTTTTCATTTTGTAGCTCATGTCCAAAATGATTCTTTACATGCCTTTTCTGTAAAGTGACTTTGATGTCTTACTTACCAATAATTTGTGATTTCAGAAGATTTCCCTTTTCTGTCTTTCTGAAACAAGAGTATTAAACAATTTATTGATTTGTATTTCAGAGTGATTTACAAGGATCAGGCAGTACAATTAACAGTATGGATTCTCTCAACAGTGTTTCTGCACCAACAAGGTTTGATTTTCTCACTTCTTGCAAATTGTAAGTGGGATTTCTTTGTTTTTGCCAAATGTTTGGGCATTCTTCAAAATAGAGGGGCTTGATTGAAAGTGGTTTACATAAAGTATAACTTTAAATGTTGGAATATTGTGTAAGAGTACTGTACTTTTTGGAACTTACAGAGAATGCTCTGTAACTTGATTTTGTACCTGCTACAGTTATAGTGGGTGTATTATATAATTATTATTAATGATATTGATAATATGAATCATATCATCACAATTTTACAGTTTTTGTAATTACTCTTTGATGACAGAAGTAATCTTGAAGTTATAAGAGCTGTGTCTGGTAATGACAAGTGTGCAGACTGTGGCAGCCTTGGTGAGCAAACTACAATAATCAGTGGGAGAGGGTAGTTTTGGGGTCATAGGACCATGTTAAGTAATTCAATTTTTTTTTAATAATTGGCCTTCGCATTGAAAATGTAGGTTTTGTAATCATTCTCCTTACATGGGTCAGAATGTTTGCTTTTGCTTTTTTTCTTTCCCTTTCTTTTTTTCCCAAAAAATTAAATTTTTTTATTTTTTACTTTTAGTTGTAATTGCCAGCAGTGAGTACAGGTAACTTGTAACATAAGTTATTTTTTTATCCTTCAGATCCAACTTGGGCAAGCACTAACATGGGAATTGTACTGTGCATAGAATGCTCAGGCATTCACAGGTACTGTGACAACAAATTAAAGTTCTTTTACATGTATAACCCTTGCATTTACCATGATGACACCCATGACATCTCAGTATATGCATGATACAGTATGTGTGTCTTCAACAAATATTACTCCAAGTCATGATCATTGAAAGCTATCAGCTTAAATTTCCTGCTGTGTATTTCTTCTAAAGTGTGATAGGCTGGTAAAACAAACAAACCAACATTCAGCCTTTTTTCAGTAAATTGGTGGGGGTCTGGGTCCAAGTATCATTAGCTGGGGGTAGTGTGTTTCACTGAGTCACTCATTGTTCAGTGTGAAAGTACTTGTTTGAATATGACATTTGTTGAGATTATTTGCAAGCAATCAAAATGTTACACTAATTTTCAAGAAATGACCTGCTTGTAATGCTTGTTTTAATAGGAGTTTGGGTGTCCATGTCTCAAAGGTTCGCTCATTGACTCTTGATGCATGGGAACCAGAGCAAGTCAAGGTAACTTAAGATATTGGTACATACCTTTGTCCTTCATAAGCATTAAATTTGGTCCACAACTTTCATACTGGACAGTTCTTTGGTATAATGTTAAATGGACTTGTATCTTGTGCCTCAAAGTGATCTGGGCATAATCTCTGACTTGGCAACAGAATTGTTTTAATTTTACTGATAAGGTACAGGTAAATCGAACTAAATTAATGCTACGTAGTAACTGTAGGTTTTGTTTTTAAGTTAATGACAGAATTGGGAAATGAATTGGTCAACGGAATCCTTGAAGCTAAAGTCAATTCCCATACAAAGAAACCAACTCCTCAAAGTAGCAGGTACTGTTTGTCCTTAGCTATTAAATAATACATTTACTAAATTTTCATAGTTAACATTTTCTGAAAAATAATTAATTGAATTGTTGTTGCAGGGGTGAAAGAGAGACTTGGATCAACTTAAAATATGTACAACACAAGTTTGTTTCCCTGGAAACCTTTCTTAAAAACTGTCAAACTTTGGACAAAGGGATCATTAGGAATCTTGCTAGAATGAAAGTTCACCATGAGGAAAGGGGCACACATTTGGCTGTTGGGAGAACAGACTCCAAAAAAAGTAAACTTTTCAAAAGGAAGCTTGCCATAAAGTCAAAGTCAAAGATGGACAACCGAAAGAGTGCCCCTGCTGAAATACTTTCAGTGGATGTAACAAGTGAAGACTATCAAAAATTAGAATGTGTTGCTTCAAATTTACTCAACGATGAGACTGCTAGCAGTGACTCACATGATGAGGACAGACCAGGAACTAGTGCACCATCAACATCATGTCAAGACAGTGAGAGGCCACGGGCAGCCTCTACTGGAGCAGCTCTGTGTTGTGACAAGGATAGAGACAGGAGAAATTCAGTTGCTTCAACCATTAGTGAAGATGGTCTGACTCAAGATACAACCAATTGTGAAAGTGTGCAGAATAATGATGATGGTGATATGGAGAAAAGGCTGAAGGAGGACAAGGAGAAAGCAATTGCTGTGTTCAAAAGAGTTCATCCTAGTAGGGTATGCACCTTTGAATACCAGATAGAGATGTCTCGGCTATAATTTATTTATTTGTTTGTTATATATTATCATGCTGTTTTGTAATGTCCTGAGTGTTATTAAGTTGATACTTAATGGTGATTATTCACCCTAAACACTCGTACATCAGTGTGCATTTTTTGCCATTATACTGTTCTCTATACATTTCATAACATGCTGACAAGGATTCTGTTGAACAATCCTGTGCCTCTTTAGTTGCTGATCATTTCCTTTATTCTTGTGATCTTTATGTGTGATTCAGGGGTTTTACTGTAAGGATAAAGTAGATGTTAGTCACTCTTAGGAGTCAACAGGTTATTGGTACATCAAATTGCTTTTGGCTTGATTTAATTGCTGGTTATATTGCAGTTACTTTTCAAGGCAGCAGAATGGAAGAGTCTTCCACTTATGGCAGCATCACTTGCAGAAGGTAGACACATGCACTGAACTTATTGTTTATAAATGACTGCACAGATATTTCTGGAAAGCAGTACACTAATTGTACAGCTGTGTGTGTAACTCTCTACTTAAAGGCGACAAGTGTTGTACATTAAAATGTTTGAAAAAATTTTTTAGGCGCAAAAGTGAACTGGGTAAACGAGGAAGATGAATGTAAAACAGCACTTCACCAGTCTGTTTTAGGGGTAGGTTTGACTGTTTCTGTTGATCTCGTATTCTGCTATGCTGAGTACTTGCAGTTCCTTTGTGGTAGGGTGATGATGGCATGAAATATTTTTTTTTCTTTTAGGGATCATTACCAGCTTGTGAGTTCCTTTTACAAAATGGAGCTAAAATAAACCAGAAGGACAAGAGGGGAAGAGGTGCACTTCATCATGCAGCACTTCTAGGGCAGACAGGGTAAGTCAATCAAAAAGAGGATTTCATTAGAAACATTTTCTTTCTGACCTTTACTATTTTCTGCAGTTATTGCAAGTGTAATGAGAACATTGCTTGTATCGAGGGCTTGTATTGACTGCCTCCCAGTTAGCTCCATGGATAGAGCACTGGACTGTTGTGCAGGAAGTCGAGGGTTCAAGCCCCGGCCGGACTAACACACAAGGTCTTAAAATAATTGAGAAGAATATGCTACCTTTCCATAACATCAAGAAATGGTTAGATATTCTAGTCTTCTCAGATAGGGACGAATAAATGGAGGTCCCGTCTCCTGCAGGGTTAGGGGTAGAAGATGTTAATTTCCCACGCACGAGATTACTGTGTGATGGATGTCCTCCCCTGGGGTGGGATGGGATGGGTATGGGTGGGATGGGTATGGGATGGGTGGGTAACAGGAACCCCGTTGATACCAGTGTTTACTACACTGAAGGGGCTATCCTGTATAAATATAAATATAAAAGATATAGATCTTTAACCCTTTACACCCTCACATCAGTATGCATATTCTCCATACTGGTCTCTTTACATTTCCTGAGGTGCTGACTGGGAGAATTTGTTCAAGAATCAAGTTAGAGTTTCTTTAGTGGGTGATCATTTCCCTTACTCTCATGACCTTAATGTGAGATAGTCACTCCTAGGTATCAAAGGGTTAAGGAAAAGTAATATTTCCTTTTTCTTTCTTGCTTCAAGTTGTTATTATTTTCAGTAATGAATATTGGTAAGTTTAAAACTTTTTGAACTACACATTTTGGTAAGTGTTCAATAACTGTTTAAACTTAATCCCTGTTCCTAAAGCCTTAACCAACATTTCTTTCCACTTCTCTGAAATAGGATGCTAGTCTAACCAAAGTAACCCCTCCCCCAGCTTTTCATTAATTGTCATGACAGTTTGCTGGTGCCAGTTTATATTCCCTGGCAGAGAGTGGCACTGTTAGATCATAGACCACTTTCATAAATGGCTGCGGGATCAACATTCTTTTGTTTAAATTTCAATTAGCCCTTCTGGCCTCATTCTCCAGTACAAAATTCAAAAGAATACATTATCTCAAGCAAGGCCAGAAGGGCTAATTTAAATTTCAACAAAAGAATATTAATCCGGCAGCCATTTATGAAAGTGGTCTATAGTGTCGATCTCTAGAAGACAACATGGTGGTCTGACCAGAGTTTGAACTGGTTTAGCACTCCAACCACCTGCAGTTGGCATCATCTGTCATCAGTTATCTTAACAGTGCTCCTTTATTTTTAGTCCTATACTCTTATTCTTGAAGCGAGGAGGTAACCAGCATGATGTTGATGAGAATGGAGAGGTGAGTGTAAATGAAATTTTACTGAATGGGTGCATGGTTAAAAAGCCAAATCAACCTCTGATAGACCACTTGTCTCCTTCCATATTATGTTGAGTTCCCAAGTGAAACAGAAAGAGAAGTAGATGTTTCATGAAAGGTTGCTAATGACCTTAAAACCAGTGCTCATGAAAGATTCCTTTAATTTCTTTTTTTTATTTCAGGACCCTCTAACAATTGCGCTGAAACAGACAAATGCAGATATTGTTACTCTGTAAGTACACAAATGTGATGTAACACTATGCTATTTTGTTGGTTGTAATAAACCTGTGAAGTGAAGAAAAAGTGACATTTTGAGGAAGTAACGTTTACATTTATTCCTTAAGTAATTGTAAATGTTTGTTCACTCAAAATGTTGTCTGGCTAAGAATTGTTTTTTTTGTTGAATTATCTTTCAAGTAATGAATGAAATTATCCCAAAAAATTGGTATTGGAATTAACACAACACTGCAGTTGTTTTCTTCTCTAGTGTTAAAGAATCACGTTAGAGAATTATAGTAAATTTTACACCTGTCTTTTTTTGGATGTCATTTTCATCAGTATCTCTTTGACATGTAGCTGCTTTTGGTCTGTTTCTAAGATGTCAACAATAACTGGGGAAATTTGAAATTGTTTACAGACTAAGACTGGCAAGACTAAATGAAGAAATGAGAGAGGATAATGAGATTGCCCAAGGTAAGATCTTTTGAACCCTTTAACTCCTTGAGGTGATTAACTTGTAACTTCTCCCTATAATTACCATACATTATCCAGCAAACAGGTAGTGAGAATACTTAAACTTATCAGACAGAAGTTGTTATCTTGATCTAACACCAAATTCCTTTACATACATGCATACATACCTATACTTTATTTATGCTCGAAATTTTCAGAGTAGCTGTGGAGCTAATAATTATATTCAGGAAAATAAGCTGAAATAAAATAAAATATGCTATATTACAATTCCAATATTATTTATAAACTATGACTTGTACAACATTATGCATGCAGAGGGAAATATAACTTGTAGATCTACTGTGGAAAAGCTCCATATCTGAGGATCTCCTTCTTGAATTTTAGAAAATTTAATGTTTTATAAGTGTCTGGGAGAGAGTTCCATATTTTGCTAGCTAATCTATGAAAAAGAGTGCAGACCGTAAGTCGTCGTTTTTGGGTTGGGAAGGGCCAGGATATGGTTTCCGCGCAAATTGTAGGATGTAGACTGTACGGTAAACATATCTTTTACATAACCTGGATAATTTGTAAAGAACAGACTCTTATGGAACGTTTAACTATGTACAAGGAAATGTATTGCAGATAGAGCACAGAATTAACAATTAAATATTGGGAATTTAAGGGTTAAGGGTACCCCATCTATTTCTTCTTGTTTAATTTTTTTTTTTTTTTCTTTCAATTATGAGTCATGTTAGGGAGTGGTAAGAAATCCAATCCAACCATTGCATTAGTAGTAAATATATGAATTCTCAATTTAATTAAGTTATTGTCCATCATGTTCGTTTAAACACCACTTGCACATGTTTGACACCTCAGCAGACAAGTTGATGTGTCTGCCAACTCATGCTAACGTGGGTAAGTGAAGTACCATGGGTTGCTAGTAAACCTTGCTGTTGTGTTCAACTTTGCAACTGATTTATGACAATACCAGGTAGCATCTTAGAATTCTACCATCCTTGAATATTTCTAGGCAAGTAGTACAACAAAAAATATTATCAAAAATGATACCTGAAATCAAATACACTTTTACTAACCCACGATTATTAGAAATTGTAGTGAGAAAGTATCACTCACCAGTCACTCCAATGGGAGAAAGGATTAATTGCTGTGTCATTATTTTGGTTTCAGGTGATGTTACATTCACTGATGTGTTCAGAGATTTTTCCAATATGGCATCCAGAGAACCAGACAGGCTAAAACGCAAGTTTGATTCAAATGGACCAAATAGACAGACACAACTGTGATGAAAAAATCAATTTGTTCCACTTTAAATTGAAAACAAGTATTTGAGGTCATTTAACATCAAAATATTTTGTAGCTCAAAAATAGGCACACAAATTCTTATTTCAAAGAAACCAATGTGAATATCCATGCTAGGTTTGATCTAACCACAAACACAAAAGGAGTCCAATTGTATATCTAATTTACGTTCATGTTTTGTAGATAATTTAACCAATGAGATTAATTTTTCACTTTGGAAAGTGTTTAGTAGGCATGCATTGTACTTGTAATTCAACAATACTGTACAATTTTGTTTAATATAGGAAAACCGAACAGTACAATTGAACATATTTTTATTCAAAAGAAATTTAAAATTTTCCCCATGATAATAACAGCATCATGTAGAAGTGAGAATAGAATCTTACTTTGAAAACTTGAGGAAAGAAAAAATAACAGTATGTCATTAAAAATTATAATGAAATGAACTTTGCAAAGAAAATTGAGTGGAAGGAAGGAAGGAAATTAATGTTTGATATTAGCCGACTGTATGAATACTATGGTCACAGAGTCAAAGTACTACATGATTTCATTGATATTATTATGTTCGGTTATGAAAAATTGTACAGAGTAGCTAGCATTCAATTATGTATTGTTGAATTTGACCAGATTAAGTAGCGCTCCATTATATTGATGATAAGGATTAAACAAATAAAAATCGACTTGTCTTTAAAGTCTGTTAAGTTTGGCCTGGCGTAATTTTTTGGGAGGTTTTTAGTCAGACGGAGACGAGCGCGAAGCGGCTCGAAGTACGGGTACAAGAAAGAATCACAATTCCCCCCC